TACTCCCAGTATTATTCTACTGTCAACTGTTTTTACTTTTGAGAAAACATCATATAATACAGTTGTTTTTCCTTTGTAATTTATCTTGTCCTGCTGGCTACTATTGAAATCCTCTTATTCGTCAGCTTCATTCTAATATATTATGATGTGTGTTTAATTTTACTTATTTGCTTGAGGTTTTATGTATTCCCTGAATCCGAAAGCCTGTTATCTTTCAAATAGCTAGTTATTATCTGGTCATATATCACCTCTCCCCATTGTCATATTAACTTCTTTTGGAAATTCAATTAATTGTATTTTGACCTTATTGTTATAGTTTCTATATCTTCTTACTCTTTTGTATTTCTCATCTTTCACTTTGCTGCAGTCTGTGTGATTTCTTTTAGGTCTTTCAGCTCACTGACTCTCATCTCCTCTGTTTCTAACCTAATCTTTAACTTATTCAAGCTACTTTTTCACAGCTCTGTTGAGGTATTCATTCCATAAAACAAACTGCATGTGTTTACAGTGTACAGTTTGATAAGTTTTGACATATGTATATGTGACTGTCTGTGAAGTCACTAAAATCAATATAGTGAACACAACACTTCCTCCCAAAGTTTCCTCCTACTTCTTCATAATCCTTTCCTCCTGCCTCTTCCTAAATCCTCAGGCATTTAGTTTGCATTTTCTAGAATTTAGTGCAGTAAAGTCAACTTTTTAAGCCACTTTAAACAAATTGGATAACATAGGAAATGAGAACTAGGGCTCCAAATAGGTGTAAGGGCTGACTTGGTGGGTTAGAATCCCCAGGGACAGTGTCCTTGCTGTTTACTTTTGCCGGTGCATTTGTGTTCTAATTCACCTTTCCAAAATTGAGATAGTCCTGGGTGGTTCCAGCTTTACCTGAGGGTATTCAAATCAGCTTCTCACCTTCTAAGTTGATTTTATCCTCATGCCTCCTCCCCCCCACCTCCAAAGCCTGATGTCATTGGGTCCCTCTCAGAGCGACTGCTGTCCTCAGCACTCCCTTAAACCTTCATGGTTTGCTGCTCCGCTCTTGTCTGTGGTGACTGACAATTACATCTGTCTCTTGAAAACTCAAGTATGCCTTTGGGGGAAAGTTTGAATATTTAGTTTGAATATTTTATTTATGTGTTTGTATCCTATAGTAGAATTTTTTAAAAAAGATTTATTAATGCATCTAGCACTGGGATACAGGCCAGAGGTGCGGGGGTGGGGGTGGGGGGTGGTAAGAGGATTCACTAGAGACAGTGGGGAGCAGAGCAGGCAGATTGACAAAGTATACTGCTGAGGGCAGCAGTGGGCAAGACAGGAGAGGTGTGCTGTGCCATGTGGGTCACCTCCTGGCTGGGGATCAAACTTGAGCGAAGTGGCTGTGGCTGGCTTCACAGTGCTGAGCTTCAACCTGCTGCCCAACCAGGGAGAGCCCTACAGTAGAATTTTTATTTTATTTTATTTTATAACAGTTTATTTTTACATCATTTTGTACCCTACAGTAGAATTTTTAAAGGGATATTTAGTCCACCTTATTCCAGAAATGGAAATGAGCATAATTTATTCTCAAACTTCAGAAAAACATCTAAGACTTCTGCATAATTTCTTCCCTAGTGGTTCACAAACATGACTCACTTTAATGCTTGAGAGGATGCAGCACAATTTCCACTGGCATTTGTTTAAAAATTTGGCTTCTCCTGTTCTCACCTCATACCTACAAATTAGAATCACCCTCTGGGTGTAAGATTAGGAATCTGAAGTTGTAAAATCCCCCTAGTGTTCAAATCTTCCACCAGGTTTGTAGCCTATTTACACACCTATTCTTGGAATAGCACAGGGTCCTCAATAAAAATCTTCTGTGTCTTTAGATCATCAATGGTGTTGTTTTCTTCAAACAAGAGGTCACTTTTATACTAGCACACATTTAATTTCCTAGACCTACATCCATTTTGTCTCTGTAGCTCTAAGTTTTTTTTTGTTCCAAAGAAACAGTTCAAATTTCCCAAATTCCAAATTCTCATTTTCCTATATAGTCTTTGTTGACCTCAACAATATGCTGCAGTGCTTGTTGCTGAGGAGCTGGTGACAGTCAACAAAGCATCATCTTTGGCACATTCCTTTGAACAAAACCCGTGCATGTGTGAGCTCCTTCCTGAAACATGGAGGGAAGTTTTGACTGCTCAAGCCCAGGCCCAGAAGCCCATCGTGCTGCCCCTCTGCAGGCCGCAACTGACCCAGCTTTCCTGGCCATTCCTGCCCTTTTGAGGTTTTCTGCCTCATCCATCTCCACAGTGCTATCACTGAGGTGATGGGTCACGTATTATATTTAGGAGCAAGTCTTTCTCTGACTTGCAGTATGCAAGTGTTATTCATCAGCTACTGGCTCTGCAGCTGTAGCCTTTTGGAAGCCCTCGCCAGTTTTACTTGGTGTGAAAAATTTAAATGGAACCTTGAGTTAACACACAACAGAGGTGATCAGAGAACTCAACTCAGTCTAACGTTTTGTACTATGTGAAATTCACAAGGACATGGATGCTTGTGGACATTATAATTAGGGCAGTAGAGCCTCATCCTGCCTTTTTATGTTAAAAATTTAAAATTTTGAGTGAAAGGATGTGATTCTTTATATTGCCTGCCTGTCATCTCAGCACAGGAGTCTTTATTATGAAGTGGTCATTAAGATTTATGTCATGGGAGTGCTGTTTGCTATCTTTCTGTAAGCCAGTAGGTTTAACTATTAATTTGCCCCAGTTTGATGAGGTTTTAGGATCCTCTGCATGTGTTTAACGTTCTTTAAACGTCAAACCTGTGTTAATCCCTTTAAGAAAAGCTTATCACTTTCACATCATAACAGGTTTTAAGGATTTTGCAAAAGTTGCTTTCCCCCAGTAGCTGTTGAATCATTGAGCACATTACTCCAGGAAAAGAGGAAAAAAATGGTTAATTGCACAGCAGTAGATCTTCAACAAATACTTGTCAGTGATTACCTGTTTACTACCTGACACTAATTTCTTTCACCATGGAATAAAAACATTTTGGAAATCCAACTACTTCTGTCACCTTCTTTATTTCTCTACTTCCCTCCCTTTCCCACTTCCTCCTTCCTTTCCTTTTTTTTATTCATTCAGGTATTTACTTAATGCTTTTTATGGGACTGTTTTAGGGCCTGAGAATATCTGTGAGTGAAATCCTTGTCTTTATGGAATTCACTTCTAGTGTAAAAGAGAAAAAAAAAAAAAAACAGACAAACTGATACACGCTTTTCTAACACTTTTGTAGGCCATAGAAGCTATTTTGAATTCTTTGCCCAAGTACTATATTAAGCAATTGACTACTTGAGAAGAGAACACAGGCTCTGTCTTCTAAAGGCTCTCTCAGCACGCTCAGGTCACTAGTCAGGAGGTGAAAAATATCAGGCTTCGCTATGGGGAGGTGAGCAGTATATACTCCTATTTCACATCTACAGCCTATAGGATTTGCTGACAGTTGGTTATAAAGTATAAGAAAGAATAAGAGTCAAGGATAACAAAGTTTTGTCTTGAGTAAGCCAGTGAATGTAGTGACCATTTACTGAGATGGAAAAGTCTTGGGGAAATTCTAGTTTGAAGTGGAAAGTTGGAGAATTAAGAGGGCAGGTTAGATACCGAAGTCAGGAAGTCATCTATGCAATTGGGAAAAAGTCTGGAATTACAGGCAAAAGTGAGAGAAGGTAGACATTTAATCTGTGGGTGATAATTAAAGCTGTGGGAAAGGGGATGAACTCACTGAGGTGCCGAGCAGATGGTGAAGACAAGACAAGTCTTCCACGCAGACTGAGAGCATACCACATTTATAAGGGAAATCAAGATCCTGCAAAGGAACCCAAGAGAGAAAAGAGTATGGAATGAAGGATAGAATAGCCAACTATGTTAAATGCTAGTAAGAGGGCAAGGAAGACAAGGATAAAGAATTAAACACTGGATGTAACAGTGTGGAAGTAGGCTTCCCTTTTAGTGGTGTGATGGAAAGCAAAATGCAATGTGATGAGTTTGAGAGGGACTAGAACAGGGAAGTAGCAACAGTTTTATCAGGGATGACTCTTCAGAAGGCTGCAGGGAGGAACAAAGGATAAGAAAGTAGAAGGCGATACAAGAGCCAGTGAGATTTTTGTCATTGTTTGTTGCTGTGCGTAAAGTTAAGTTCACCCTTTGTTAAAAAAAATACAAGAAAGCAGAATATATGGGTTCAGATGTTGGTTACCTGGACTTGATGGCAAGAGAATAAAGTTCTCTTTTGGTTGCTTCTATTTTATACTCAGGGAAATAAAACAAAATCATTAGCTGAGAATCTAAGAGTGAGGAGAAAGAACATATTGTGAGTTTGAGAAGCAGAGAGAAGGTGTGAAATAATCATTGTGGAGAGTATGTTGCCTTGGATTTCACATCCTTTTAGACTCTGAGATAACAGTGTGATCTCAGGAATACCAAGTATCTTTATGGATGTTCTGCTAAAAAGAACCAAAATAAGAATAGTTCAGGCCAAAATTCACTAAGTATAATGTACCTCCATAATTTCTTCAGGGAATATAGAATAGTTATTTGGAAAATTTCAATTTAAAAATTTATGAGTATATTTACCTGGTTCAAAATGCATAAAGAATAAACATGAAAGCAGTAAGTCTCCTTCCCTTGGCCCCCTGCCTTCAAGTCCCTTTCCCTGGAATGTGTCAATAACAATTTCTAGTGTCTTCTTCCAGGAATACTTTATTGATCCCATTTTTTTCAAAGCTGTATCTATGCTAGAATTTTTAAATAATCCTACTCCAATTAAGCAAATCACTTTAATGTGATAGTAATGTCCCTGTATTCTCTTTAATAATAATTTCTAAAAAGAGCAAGAAAGATTGTCTACTTTAAACTGACTTCATAATGTTGGCAGCCATCTGGCAGGAGTTGTATCTGTTGGATTTTTCTTAAGAAATATGTGTATTTAACAAGGTTCTTTTTCTTTCTTTGTCTTCACAGCTGACCTAGCATCTTTAATGGATAAAACATATGAGAGAAAGTTGCCTGTTAGTTCTTTAACAATATCTCGGGTAAGAAAATTGAACACACACATACATATATATATATATAAACACATATTTTTTGTCCCCAAAGAAGAAGGAAGAAACTAATCAAGTCTCTATATGTAAATGAGGCTGGGTAGATTAAAAATCTTTCATAAGAGATATTTTTCCAGAGTTTGGTATGTATAGTTGCTGATATATACTTTATGTGAAAGTAGGAAATTTCTTTGACTAAAAGGGAATAAATTTGCCAGTATCAGTGATTATTGTTGTACATCTCATTTGTCTTAATTTTTCTGGAATACAATATTGTGGTATATAATGCATCATTTTTTAAGCATTGATATACCACTTAAAGTAATAGCGATTACTTGTTAATATTGGAAGTGATTTTGGTAGCTGAGAAAACTGAAAAAATGAATGTTAATATTCAAGTGCTATAAAGCAATATGAGGGAGGATAATATTAGGCTAGGGAGCAGGAGCAGTCGTTGGTAGACGTCATTCTTGCATACCTTCTCTGCCAGATTATATGGCTGCTTCTTGTTTTCTTTTCATTTCTTTTTTCTCTTCTTTTCTCTCTCTCTCTCTTTTTCTTTCTTCACTCAAGCTAAAGACATTTTAATCATCATTGAATCACAGCCCAAGTCCAAATTATTGATTACTTTTCAGAAAATTTGGAATGTAAATTGTTGAATTCAATTTAGATATCATCAGAATTTTCATCAGGATTTTCATTGTCATCAAACTGGACTTCATCATCTACAGACTCAAACGTAACATCAGTCTCAATTCACCATGCTCTAGAAGTTTGCTGTATCCCTTAAAACTTATAGCTTTATCTGTATTTTATATTCATTATGTTTATCAATGTAACATTGGCTTACACTGTATATGTGTGAACACTGTGTATATTCACACCTTTAACAAATGCGTGTTCTTCTTACACCATGTCCACCACCAAAGGCTGAATGATCCTCCACTTTAGTCTATTAGGTCTCCTCCCCTCAATCCCCCCACCAGAACTCCTCACACTTCCTCCCTTTGGGATAGCCTCAGTTCTGCAACCAGTTTAAAGGCTTTGCTTTGGTTTGTTTTTGTCTGTTCCTTTGATTTGTTTCTTTTTATACCACATATTAGTAAAAGAATCTGGAATTTGTCTTTCTGACTTAATTCACTTAGCACACTCCCCCTCCTGCCTTTTTTTTTTAATAGCTCAGTAGTATTCTTGTGTATTTATATCATATTTTCTTCATCCATTCATCTGTCATTGGGAATTTCAGTTGTTTCCGTAGCTTAGCTATTGTTAATAGGGCTGCAATGAACACAGGAGTGCATATATTCTCTTCAACTTAGTGGGTTTTTTGTATTCTTCAGGTAATACCTAGGAGTGAAATTGCCAGATCACGTGATATACTTATTTTTAATATTTTGAGAAAACTTACTTTGTTTTCCAGAAGGATTGGATCAATCTACATTCCCACCAACAGTATAAAAGTGTTCATTTTTCTGTATACCCATAGCAACATTTTGCTTTATCTGCTTTTTTCATAAGAAAAGGCCATTCTCACACATGTAATCCATTCTCACACATGTAAGTAGTGTCTCATTGTGGGTTTGATTTGCATTCCTCTGATAAGTGATAATGAGCATTTTTCATGTGCTTGTTAACCATCCATATGTCTCCTTGGAGTAGCGTCTATATAGATCTTCTGCCCACTTTTCGATTGGGTTATTTATTTTTTGTAGTTGTATAGAGTTTTTATCGATCTTTGACATTAATCCCTTGTCAAATGTATAATATGCAAATGTTTTTGTCACTTGATAGTGTGCTTCATTGTTTTAATGATAGTTTTTTTCCTTTTGGAGAGCTTTTAAATTTTATATAGTCTCATTTACTTATTTTGCTTTTCTTTCCCTTATTATAATTAAATGCTCACTGAAGCCAATGTCTTGAAGTGTTTAGACCTGTGCTTTCTCTGTATTTTATGGTTTTGGGTCTTACTACCAAATTTTTGGTCCATTTTGAATTAATTGCATGTATGGTGTAAGAGAATGGTCCCCTTTTATTCTTTTGCATGTAGCTGTTGAATTTTCCCAACACCTTTTGTAAGTTTCCACTTTATTTGGCTTTCTCCATTGTATGTTCTTGGTTCATATGTTGCAAATTAACTGCCCGTGTAAGAGTGAGTTTATTTCTGGGCTCTATATTCTGTTGATTTGTGTTTATATTTTTATTCCAATGCCATATCATTTTTATTACTGTAGCTTTGTAGTATAATTAAAGTCTGAAAATATAATGCCTCCTTTCTTTTCTGTCAGGATTACTTTGGCTTGTTGGGGTCCTTTGTGATTCCATACAAATTTCAATAATGTCTGTATTTCCTTTTAGGGAAATTTCGCCCTTTATAGAATACCATTTTAATTTATATAGGGATCACATTAAATCTATATATTGCTTTGGGTATGATGGCCATTTCAACAATTAATTCTTCCAATCTGTGCTGGTTCACTGTGTCCATGGGGAAGAAATGTCACTAGTCTGTTTCTAGTCTGCCATCTTAGATCCGTCTCTGCCTATAGTTTTTTAAAGTTCTATTGCTTAATTTATTCTCTTGCTTGATTCTCATAGAAGCTGTGTAAGATAAATTTCATGACCTCCACTTTACATGTAAGACTCAGAATGTTGATAGCTTTCTCAAGTTCACCCAGCTTAGAAGTAGAAAAGTTTGACTTAAAATCAATTTTTCCTTTCTGCTTGCCTCCTTCAAATATATCAGATTTTGTCTTTATTATGAATTCACTTTGTGGACCCCTCTCAGTTTGCTCATTTCCACCATGAGAACAGTAGTTCTTCCTTGAAGGGGTGAGGTGGCACTAAAATGAAATCTTAGTTGCAAGAGTTTGTTGTTGAAATTCAGGGTATTTTTAAATGTAGGGGAAGAAATGGAAGGAAACTATAGTGGATCCTCACTTTATATCATAGATAGGTACTTGGAAACTGCAGCTTGTAGTGAAAACATTTTCTCATTGGAGCTCAGGGCAGATGCCTCTATTCTGTTTATACAGATGGAGGAACTAAGTTCCAGAGGGACTATGCCATCTGTTTATGCCACACAGCAAGCAAGCAGAAGAGCCGAGTCTCAATTTCAGATCCTGCATTTGAACCATATTTTTTTCTGCCACTTAATGAGATTTCTACATCGAATCTATAAATCCTAGGCCTTTTTGCTCCTTTATCACTATGAGGTTTTAATATATTCATAATTTGCATTATCTCCTACTCCATCATTTTTTTTTTGGGTGGGGGGCTCTTGAGCTTTAGTGTAATCCTGTTTGTTTGTTTGTTTAGAGTTAAGGAACATAGTAAGGAATTTTATGATTTGAGGGAGACTTTATTGATAGAACAATCACAGGTTGACTAGCCATAGAACTAAATAAGGGTAGGAAAATGGTTCTTAGACTGAATTCTGTTAATTAAACCTTTTATCTCTTAAGCAATATTTTTTTCATCCTTTAGATGTTTCATCCTTTTAACTACATATCCCCCTATATTTGGAGGTTGGAATATAGAGAAAAATATCAGTACTTAAAGGGAAATATTGATAGCAACTATATATATATATATAT